TCTTAAAATGCAGTTAAATAAATTAAGCATAGAATTCTCTTTTGAGAACCATTTTTCAACCAATAGGACGATATAGACAGTAACGTAGAAAAGGAAGAGAGTAAAAAAGGTCAACATTAGTGACTAGAAGCGTATTTGACACTATTTAAATTTTGAAAATGCGTATTGTGGGTTTTTTGGCAAATGTCCGCCTGGATGACCACCGTGTAGGGCCCTACACAGTGGGCATTCAGGAAGTCATTTTAGGCAAGATACTAGTAAAACATTGAAGAAAAAGGCGGTAAGAAAAGATTGAAATTCTGCTACAAGAGTAGTGATGCAAAATACCATAAATTGGACTAATTGTCTTTGGTTTTGACATAAAAATGATTTCCTGTAACAAAACAAATTTAATATTACTGATAAGTATAGAAAAGGGTGCTAAAAATCGTTTGTCACGAAGACTTTTCGAACAATGTTTTCTTCTTGAAAAATCACTAGAGGTCCCTTACCTATGAAGAGTCATCTAAAAAAAGTCTATTTAATCATGCTTAACGGCAATTTTCGATGTGCACGTTAAACGTTTCTTGATTTTCAGACACGACTAGCGTGGATTTCTCTTTGTTTCCATATAAAAAATAATTGACACGTTCAAGGTTGGACAAAGAGAATTTTTGAAATTTGTATTCTTATAATCCCGAAAGGAGAAAGTGTTAAACAAAAGTATTTTGGGGCTGCTCATAACTCATTGTGTGACATAGGTAGAAAATCAATCCGATCTAATATCGATTTGATTTACTGAGAAAGCTAGCCTTTTGAAGATTTTAGTCTAGGTTATTGGATGTCATAAAACCCTCATGTTTTTTGTCCGTTGTCCATACTCAAGAAACTGAGAGCAAGTATTTGCGTGTATAACTCATGTTTATTAGTCACATTCTTTAATAACTGAATAGCAAATAGACTTTATTAAAATGATCTGAGTGTACAAAACAAGATGGAGTTACAAATTCAAACAAAAAAATAAGTAAGTGAGAAACGAAAGAAAATAAAAAGAATAAAATAAATCGATGACAGTTGGGTGAGACTCTTCCGTTCAGCCAAGCTTTGAAGAATTACCAAAAGACTGTTGATAAAATGTTTATCGTAAATACAAGTATCAAAGATCTGTAAACTAAATTGAATGCTTGTAGATTAGCACCATTGGAACCTATAAACTTATCTATAATTAGTGAAAAGTTCAAAATCTTTAAGTGAACTTTTTGTGCATAAAATCGACATAACTATGGCCGAAAGAGTGAGAAAATTTTAGAAGCTGTTCGCAAGTGTCCTTATGAGCTTTACATACTTTAATAATAATGGGTGGACATGTAAAGTGAACGACAATAGTCTAAGCAGTTTTGTTGCTTATTCTTTTCTCCTCCGTCACAATAACTATAATGAATCTGAAAAAGGATTCGAGCAGCTGACAAAATTTTCTGTCAGAAGAGGTCCATATGAAAATTCTGTCCAAACTCCTGCAAATAAGCCCTTTGCAAAGCCAAAAGTGTAAAAACATCCTAAAAAGCCAAGTCGCTGAATTCGTGTTGAAACTTTTTGTGAACAGCTTAGTTGTATAGAACAAACGTTTCTGAGCAAAACTAGGTGTCGCCGAGCTCTCCACAAGATTTCTTTATCGAATTCACCAATGGTCTCTCTACGTTGAAAGTAGAAGAAAAACAGTAAAAATGACAGAGAAAACGCCCGTGAGGGCCTTTGATAAATTCGATGCAATTCGAATGCAGTGACTTGCTTTTTAGGATGTTTTTACACTTTTGGCTTTGCAAAGGGCTTATTTGCAGGAGTTTGGACAGAATTTTTATATGGACCTCTTCTGACAGAAAATTTTGTCAGCTGCTCAAATCCTTTTTCAGATTCATTATAGTTATTGTGACGGAGGAGAAAAGAACAAGCAACAAAACTGCTTAAACTTTTGTCGTTCACTTTACATGTCCACCCATTATTATTAAAGTATATAAAGCCCATAAGGACACTTGTGGACAGCTTCTAAAATTTTCTCACTCTTTCGGCCATAGTTATGTCGATTTTATAGGCAAAATAGACAATTAACAGGTAGGGAGGTGTGGCTGCTTTATATCTGCTGATGTGAGAGTCTTCTGAAACTTGATTAGCGATGATTAATTCTAATCAGTTTCCTGTGTTGGTGCATACCTGTTCATAATTCCATTATATTAGAGTAATTATGGACAGGACGTGCAAATCTCGCAGAATGGACAGAAAACAGCTTCTGTCTGCTTTAACAAGTCGAGTTTCATAGCATAGCATATGACATAGTTGTTTAGAATCTTGAACTTTATTTTTCAACCGCTAGTCTTATGTAATAGATTCTTTTCAAGATGAGATGTTGCCTAGGATCTGATCAGTGTCTGTCTATGGGATATGAGTGCAGCATTGAGCAACGAGGTTATTCTAGTGACATAACTGACCGCAAGAACTGCTTTTGTGATTAGTTACTGGTTATGGTCGTACAGTTTCCTACCGGGTAAGATAGTATCATTCAAAATATTTAATGTAAATTTATACGTACTACAGTCATCAAATTCTTGTACGCGTGCATTAGAGGTATCAAGAACATATAATTTACCATTTGGAGCTACTGTTACATCAAATGGAATATTTAATTGATCCATTCCTTCACCCTGACCACGGCCGCCTGCAACTGTAATTCCACTACTATCACCAATCACCCATTTTTGTATGCGGTTATTATAATTGTCAGCTATGTATAAGTTATTACCACTAAGAAAAAATCCCATTGGAAAACATAATTGATTAGAATTTAACCCACATTCATTTCCTCCCGCTACAATTGTTCCGTTAATCACACCTGGAGTGAATCGTATTACACGGTGATTGAATGAGTCCACAACATATAAATTATCGTTAACATCCAAAGCAAGAGACCAAGGGTTATTTAGTTGGCTTAAACCTGGTCCGTCACCGTTACCACCCGCGACAAGGACACCATAGTTACTACCTGATGCCCATTTCATTATTCGCTGATTAGGACGATCTACTATATACATGTTACCATTTTTATCTAATACGTTGCCCTTCCCACTCCCTAATTGATTCAGAGCAGATCCAGCTCCGTTTCCTCCTGCGACGGTTGTTCCATTTCTAGCGCCAGGTACCCATCGCTGAACACGAAAATTGTCTGTGTCGCCAATGTATAAATTACCCTGATTATCCATAAAAATAGATTGTGGGAGATAAAGTTGTGCGGAGTCCTTTCCTGCTCCATTTCCTCCGGCTACGGTCGTCACTTCATTTGTTTCTGGAAACCATTTTTGTACACGATTATTAAAAGTATCTACCACATAGATACTGTTGTCACTACCTGCCCATATAGCAAAAGGGCTGGACAACTGATTTGAGCTTGAACCCCCGGATCCACCTAGTACTGTTCTTCCTTGTATGTTCCAACATTCTAAACCAAAATGCGACTTCTCTTATGAGTCTTCACGGAAAAAGCGTCGTGCTTGTATCTACAAGATTTAGAATCCGATAAGTTCTCTGACAACTGTGTCAGCGTACAAGCCTTTTGGACTTAATATACGATGTTGGATCTCCTCACGAAAGTCTTTTTAATGCCTTTCCGGAACAAATACTAATACATGTTCTCGTCCAAGACGTTTATTCAGATAAGACACGTATGCGCGTCTTTTTTTGAGATTCTATTTTGTGTCTTCTCACTCTCTTTTATAGTGGACTACCAGCAGATCGAACTCTTGTGGGTGCGGGAAAAGTATTCCTAAATGTTAATGAGCTAAAGAAAGCTTTACGTGCATCCTACCACTTGCTGATTTCGCTGCATTTGAACTTTTCAAAAAAAAATAACGGAAATTCAATCAATTTAATCAGCAGAAATTACTAAGAATGGAATTCTTACTTTAATATTAATCCAATAATCCAGAACAAGTATAAATCTTTAGGAGCCATAATATCAAACAGAAAAACCTATAAAGAAATATAAGTTGAATATACTTTTCTGCTGTATTTTTATTCATAGGGATACATTCTAGCTTACCTTTAAATAAAAAGTCGTCGTTTCTTTTAAATGGACGAATAAATGTTACTTAGAATCTAAAATTCCTTACATACACACTTTCTATCTGATCTGTTCACTCACACAACATCAAAATAATGAATCGCTTTCGTTTCTCTACGTCCGTCAATCTATCCATGCACTACTTATGATACAAATATACTAATTACATATGAAAAGAAGAACTAGGTTTTCATCTTAGATATCAAACTTATGTGTCATGTCCTCTTATTTCTTTATTTTCTATTAAACAGGCTATTTTTTTCTTTCTCCAAAAACATCGACAACGTAATGTATGTGTCACCTTTATGGTTTTTCCTAGTAATGAGTCAGTTCCGCTTGTTTACTCATGCAGGAAATGTCCATGTACTTACAGAGTGCTGGAAAATTCCAAAACACCCTACACGCTTTCATAGAAACGCTTCACTTGCTTCATGAAGTGAAGTCATTAATGTCTTGGCCGCGTGTACATAGACACGACAGGATAACATTATTAATAATAACTCGTTTGCTCCATTCACAAAAAATTTCATCTTCAAATAAATTTTGTTTGACAACCGCTTTTTTTGTTACAGACAATCTCAGGTCTTGGAAGCTTGAACTGGCCCTTACTAAGCGCGCAGTCCGCGAGACTGTCTTTAACCACAATAAGCTCGCCTGATTCGCAGAGAATTTTGACAGTGAGTTTGTCTTTTCTCTAAATACGTTAGAACGCTTATCAGCTGGAGTTTCGGATCACATTATTCAAGCATTGGGACGATGGCTCACAATCTGCTTCAAGTCATATATCGATTTAAGCTCGGCAAACATACGTGACCCACACATAGCTCTCACAAAGGAAAACATAAACACTCACTCATCTTGGGGGTTTCTCCACAAGCTGAATATGCTGTTTGTTTCTTTTATTTGTTTTTGGAGTTTCTTGTGAAGCTATGTCGCCAAAAGTTTAAAATAGACATGTAGATCGAGCTCTAGTAACTAATAAACAGGGATGAATACATTTATTATTACATGGTCTAAAACCGAGCGACGATTTTTCAGTGAACCGACGCTTTCGTGCAGTTTTCATAGTATAAATGCAGGTATTTCTTCACGGCAGACACACGTGAAAAGCTGTTATCGGTGTGTGATGGATAGAAGCAGTGTGAAGTGAGTTCGAAAAATAGTGTCATACAAAGGATATTTGCATGATGCAGTATGAAACTAGTTTCAGAATTTTGAGTTCAAAAGACTGAAAAGACAACGGTCATATGTTCGAATAGTGAATTATTATCTATATATATCTTGCACCACCTGCGAAATATTATTGTACAAAAAAACTGCAAATATATATGATATTTCAAAAAAGTAGAGCAAGACTAGATTTTTTTGGTCCTAAAGGCATACGATCTTTTGAGATTACATGATAGCCCAAAGCAATTGTAAGTTCAGCTATATGTTAGAGATGTGCATGGGTACCATTTTCGTACCCGTACTCGAACTGATCCGAGAACTTTGTACCCGTCCCCAACTTATGTCTAAAAATTTTCTTCTTTTTCTTTCCAGCTAAAGACTTTTGTTTTTCGGCTGAAGATGTCAAATTATCATTACATTCTCAAGTAATTCTTTTTTAAACGTTCATGTATTTTAGCTAAACTCCTGTATTTTTTCACTAAAAACTTCCGGTTTTCGAATAAATTAAAAAGAAATAGAACCCGTACCCGACCCGTACCCAATCTTCGGGTAGGATCGGGTTGCACATCTCTACTGTATGTTTACAAACGTATTCTTTGCAAAAGAATCTGCACAAACAAAAGTTTTGTTAAACCGAAACTATATGAGCAGATTCATACCATATCTTAAAATGATAGAATGATGAAAATGCATTGCTACTAAAACAATTAATCCACTCTTGGATACTCATTATTGGATGTGATATAGGAACAACCGTTTCAAAAATATTCCATGGAATTGGAATTGCATATATGATAACATCTTGAGACCATTTTAGTATATATTTGTTGCCATTCGTACGTGATTCACTTCGAAATCTAGTACTTTATTTTCTGATATTAATTCGTTAAATTCAGTTTCCATATTATAAGTTCGCAGTGGTAGGCATTGTCCGCGCATCATTTTGTTTAGAATATGGTTCTTTTACTGTTTACGTATCGATGTGTAAATATGAAGCAGTGTGCGTATGAAAAATTCTACTTTAGAACTGTACACATACAGTGAAAAAATATCTTTCAATACCGTTCTCTGTTCAGTCTTCTGTAAAAAAATTCGAAAACCATTCTGTTTTCAGTCCCGTTCTCTAAACAGTGTAAAAATTTAATAATTCGCACTCCGTTCTCCATTCAGTCCAAATTCCGTTCTCTTTTCATATTTTTTTCAGAATAATGTTATGCTGTCGTATCTAACTATAATTTTATAACTATAACTTTTTTCAAACTTTTTCGACTGAGATTTTTAATAAAAAATTAAAATTATCCCAAAACCTTGGGACGTATAACAGTCAATTCAGTTTTTGATGCTGATTCCAAATACGACGTTGGTTTTGCAAAAAAAGAAAATTTTGCCGGTAAAAACTGCAAAATAAGAGTGCGTTTCTTTGGTTTTTGCTAAGGTGCTTACTTATGGTGAAAGAAACAGCTTCCTGTTTCGAATAAGAAATATCTAAATATAAAGCTTTGTAGCGAAGATTAAAGTCTACAAAACAGGACTCATGTCTGTTTTTTTATTCAGCCTATTTGTCCTCAAATATGCACTTCAGTTGCAAAAAGATGTCTTAACTTCCTGGTTTACCATAGGTATTATATGTAAGGCGGTGAACACTTCTGAAATAGCCTATTCGATACGGATTTATTCGTAGATTACAAATATGATATTAGTATTGCTATAATATGTATATTATATATAATATATTTAGGAGTTGAAAAAATGTAATTTTTTCGTTAAAGTTAAAAGTCTACTCTAATTTTGACAATAAAAAATTCATAACTCCTCACGGACAATTTTGTTTACCACGCTAGTTTCAGGTTTCATAGGAGGCAATATGAGAATGTTTTTGTGCAAGTCAGGTCTTGTTTGAAAGTCAATTGATGGAGATGCAATATTTTTAGTGATCATGGATTCTTTGAAAAATCGAGGTTTTTTTTACTTTTTTGAACCGTTTACTTTATTCTTAGAACTCTCTCTTTCTTTCGTTATATGGGATTTCAACGTATTGGGTATCTTTATTGGAATTTTGTTCGTTTGAATTAATAGGAGCATTGCTATTGATTCTTTATAAAACTTATTATAATACTATCCACAGAACATGGAGAAGACCGTTGACTGTGAAGCATTACTAACGTTATGATACATCGTATATTCATAGAACATAGTTTCGGACTGACGAAATTTGGCAAGGATAAATGAGGCGATTTTCACTTAAATACTTTTAGTTTATGCTTAATATCATTAAGGTAAACATTTGTGGTTAAAATGGGACGTCTCCTACCACCAAGCAATGCTCTGATCAAAAGTTATGACAGTTTTATTAAGAGCCCTAAAACGTGTGGTACATTAGCACCACTATATCTCAAAAGCGTTTTCTGTATTTCTTACGTGATAAATACTGTCGGGAAGATTCTTCCGTCAAATTAAGCGCTCGGTTGGTCTTAAACTGAAGCTAAGATATATGGAAACAATGTAACAGAGCCCGATTTTTCATTTAGGCCGCCATTATTTTACAGTGTTGCAAATTATACACCAGTTTTTGCGCTTTTTTCGAACTTCTTAGTTGAAATCCTTCGGAAAATAAAACGAACAGAAACTCAAAAACCCGGTTCTGTTACATCATTACCCTAACTTCATTTTATATTTTAAAGCCAGCCCGACCTCTCCAGTTTTCTGAGAGGGGAAATCTCCCGGACGGCTTACTCAGTTTGCCAGAACATAAATGTGTCAATAGAGCTTCCTTGGTTATTCGACGTTTCCCATTAGGTTCTAAGGCTAATATTTCAACGTTATTAATCATCGTGTTGCTGTTGAAGCACATGACGTGGAATGCCTGAAACCACTGTCATATTTCTAATGTCTCCTTAGAGTTCATTCATACCGGTTAATTTCTTCCTGCTTCTTTCATCATTTATCACACATTTTGCATAGTATCATATACAC